CACGATCGTCCTCTTGTGAGCTCAATAGTCCTGTGATTAGATAAAAGCACGGTAAGGACATGCGCAACCTCAAAGAATCTTTTCAATATGGACATTTCCCCACTTGAAGACAAGACACTACACACGGCAAAAACCACGAGGCTCGAACAACGCAAATCCCACTCCGCCATCGAGAATAATACCCGGGTTCCTCACTAGGCGTTGACGCGAGAGTCATATGGCCCGGACGCAGCCTGCTCAGTATGCATGCTCGGGGAGATTAGTGTATGTTCATCGTCTTCCTGTCCTGGGTGGGTGTTGCATTACAAGGTATTGTTTTCAAACTGCCAGAATCAATTAATATGAATAATGAATGCGTCGACTGACGCTGATGCTTGTGAGAGCTCATTTTGTTCGATGTCTCATTGTTCAGAGCGGTTTCATTCTGCGAGAGGCACAAGGAGGTGATTCTTTTGTGGACAAATGTTAAAATAGTCTTTATCAAGTGAAAGTGCACCATAGGTGCACAAAAGGCCTCACACCCACCAAACCACACGCGTGGGCTGAGTGAAAGCTAGAGACGTTGATGGCATTGCTCATGCCACTCAGGATACACTTCACACACAAACCACAGATAGACGAGACGCACACAGCAGCCCGGTCAACTGAGGCAATAACCAGCGGTCAGCGAGCGCCAACAGACACTTAACCCGTCACAGCTTGCATCAGAATGAAATAACCCGAATGTAGAACATGCAACCCACTCTGTCATCAACCGCGTTCAGAGTGAAGTGAACAAACAGCTCACGAACATTTGCTGCTCAACCTCTGCTTGCAAAAATATGTCTGTAGACGTCATTGAGAAAATAACACAACTTCCCACTTTGTGTTGACATTGTACTAATGACTTTATGGGAACGGAGCCCTTTTCACATCAGCGGCTTTGACGTGTCATAGCAGCGTTAACATCGTGTAATGGATAAATTATATAGAGCATGTCAGTCAATTCAGGGATCTAACTGGATCAAGGACAAAATACATGCTAATTGCTACTACAGGAGCTGCTCTTTACAAACAAAATGGGTTTGCAAAAGCTTTGTGCGTTGCAATGGAGATGCATCCAAGTAACATGAATGCATTAATTCTGCATGTGTCACACTCCTGAAGCACGGGAAGAGGTTATACATAATTTATTGCAATGGATATTAGTTGCCAGTGTCATGATGGTTCTTCTGTAAATAATTTAGATTTAAGGTGTTGACCTTTGACCCTGGGAAGCCCGAAAAGGTAGTCCGCTGATTTGACTGGAGAAAATGTTTATTAAAAGCCGCACAAACAATTTTTACTTGTGTTACTTATTAATCATGATGCTGTTAAACATAGCTGCTGTCATTCACAACAGCTACTTTTTTGTACTTTTTGTACAAATAAATACATTTTGTTACTGAATTCATGTTTGGAAAAAGATTGCAGGTGGTCTAAGGAATTGTTTTCCGTTTTAAAAACTCAAAGAAAAAGAAATACACAACATTTAGACTTTCAGATGGAAACAAAGACAGACTTCCTTCATTTTTGGTTTAGCCTTTGACTTTCAGTAATTCCATTATTGACGGTTATGAGCAATTAATATAGGTCAATGATCAATTGTACCCTTCTAAATATGTATGTAGCAACTAACGGCTATATTTTCTATGTAGAGATGTAGTGGAGTAAGTCTAACCTCCGTGTGTTGCTTCATGTAGAGCGGCATACACACAGTAGATGGATGCATTAATATTCTTCATACAGAGTAAGTCTTGACAGTGCAGCTGCTGTTTTAATCTTACCCAGCGAATGAGCACAGCTGCCTAAATTTTGCTTTTTAAAACCAGGTTGGTGCACAGGAAAGCTGCCAAATTGCTCCTAACAACAGAGGAATCCGTTCATTCTAATCAAGCCTCTTCTAGATTATTTTATAATGCCCAGGCAGCTGCTGGTGGGAGATGAGTTAATTAGAATTTGGTAACATTATGAAAAAGATTTCATGCAAAATCATTCTGAGTGTGAGCACTTACGTTGTGGGTTTATCACAGGCATAAAGAGTGTTTACCTTAAACCTGTTGTGTCATTAATCATTAATCATTGCATTAAATACAGACGCAGAAATGTGTTTCTCTACAATGAAGAGCAATTGTTTTTTTCTATTATTGTGACACACGTGACTTGATTTCTGCTATGTGTCTTTCTTGTGTGCAAATTGTATAGTACAACATTAAACATTTCAACAATATTATCTACCTCCATTATTAGACAATCACAGGGAGTGCTGACGCCATCTCTTTTTAACCAATATCACCCTCTCGTGGTACATTTACTTTCTCACAAGCACATTTCCACTGGCCTTCGTTTTGGCCACATATTAGCACAATTAAATGTGCAAATAGTGTATTTTTGAGTAAAAAAAAGGGGAATATTCAGGATATACAAAGGCTGTGACGTATATCTCAGAGACCATGACACACATCATTTATTTGATCATCTGAACTTGTATTTTTCTTATTATGACGTGTCAAATGTTTTCTCTGTAATGAGCTCGAGCCATTGTGGAAGTATACGGTCATATAAAGTACTTTAATAGACCAATATTAAGAAAGAATGTACTACAGGCGATCTAAAACAAAATGTGTTTTCCATGCTGGCCTCTGCTGAAGTCTCAGCTTTACATCTTCACAGAGTTATTTCAGTAGATGAAGATCTGAATTCAAAGCCCGGCAGCCAAGAATCTCCTGCAGAGAATGTCTCCAAAATCAGTGGATGTTTGAAGTCTGCATGAAGACGGCATCTACAGACGCCACCAGTGGCAACAACTTGTGAGCTAAATACATTTGGGACTATTTGAATTTTGGTGAGCCGCAAATTTCTGCAAACAATCTGAAAGAAAAAATAATCTCTTGTGAAAACCAACAGCTTCAGGCGGATTGAAGCATTTTCCACCACTTCTGCAAAACTGCAACTAACAGCCAAGTGAAAACAAGCAACGTGCAGTATCAGCTGTATTTTTGATTTAAACAATTTAAGAATCTGTGCAGTGGTTTAATCTAAAACAAACGAAAGAAAACGGTGACAGCTGAGCCGGCAGCTTGCAGCTAGTTGTGCTCACAGTGCAGACAGCAGCAACCCGAGGGAGGCCGCCATAGAGACGTCAGTATCCGCCTTAATCGGCTTGAGAGCGTAGTGTAGAGCTGCAGCTGTGAGAGGGGGTACGTGAACACAGCCGAGACCCCTCGGACCGAGGGAGAGTGACCTCATTCTGTTCAATAGACACTGCCTCACTATCCTTAAATAGCAAGTGCTTGTGCCGCTATATTAAAGCTCTGAATGCAATACTACTCATCTTGCCCATTCTTATGAAGGATCCTTTTTAGATTAGATTTTCTGAAAGAATTAGCATTTCAATCATGGCATTTTTGCTTGTAACACTTCATATCATATGACGCTGCTTGTACAATGACCAATGCATTATTTAGCGCCCATTGAGTCCTTTAAAGAAGGACAATATTTCACATAAGATACATGTTTCTGTTAACGTGATACATGGACTATGTATGTATGGCATGTATGAAGATCTCCATTAGTTGGAGTGATTCTCCATCAACATTTGTTTCTGGCAAAATGGCTGAAAATAAATCCTGCAGCCGCACTGTCGGCCTCCTTGGCTGTGCACAACACCTGTAATTTAAACAGTTATTCATGAGATCGTGGATGTCAGCGAGGCACAATGTGACGCTGGAACGTTCATTCTCAGGTAGAGCTCTTCGTGGTGGAGTCGCCCTCTGCTGGTCGTGTTCCTGCCTTAACTTCTTCATCCCAACTGGTCCCACTGGTGTATCCATCGGCAGATGAAGTCCGTGCTGTGCAGCCAAACTTTGGTCAGACCAAAAGATTTACTGTAATTATCGGATTGTAATGAAGATCCCAGCGTGTCTTTTGGTTTTCATGCTTTCATGCTTTTACTCACACAGCTTAAATGAAACAGATGCAAGATGCAATGCCGTCTGTCAGAACCACACAACCTCCAATGCTATTCAGTTAGTGGTAATGCCAAACATGAAAGCTGGATTTTAAGAGGTAAAAAAAATCTTGTAGTTATGTTAGATCTCTATCATCATAGAGCAGACAAAGCAGCTACTCTGCACTGTGTTCATTATCTATCAGCAATGTTTCACAGCAGATTAATAATACATGGAAAGCTTCATTAAGCGTGATGCATGTGTGCTGCTTTCCTAATGTGGCTTGTTTGACACTAATGGAGTAAAGGAGGGAGTTAATGTGTAGAACATTAGCCCTTATTGGCAGTCACTCGCATGTCTCCCTTTCATGAGCGTGCATGTTATTTGTCACACTAATAAAAGGAACATGGTCCAGGAGCGAGACCCTCCTCCCTTTAGTTAACCATCCACATGTATTTCTATCAGGCAGATTAATACAACAGTCGTTTCATTTGCTTGGGCTTCATTAGACCAGCTGCTGCATTCTGTGCAGAGAGACCTTCCTCGTTAACCTTCACTCGAGTTTTCTATGCAATGCAAACTAGTGATGGTCACTGGCTCCGGACGGGTGAGTCTGCTCCCCTCTTGTGGATGAACTCAGCCTGAGCTCCGTGTCTTCTCTGGAATGAGGAACGCTGAGTACGATTTTGGAAAAAGCAACTCAGCGAAGGTGTGACTGCCGAAATGAATGGTCAAAAAGTTAATTTACTCAGATTTTGTTTGATTGTATGACAAATTTAGAGACGGCATGTGTGAAATAGTGAAATAAATGTATTTCAACAGAACCATTGTGGAGTAAAAGAGCACTAGATTTTAGTTTGTAAATAAAATACACAAATGCTTTGTTTATACATTAGCTGAAGAACCTGCCTCTATGAAATGGTTAAAATGTATTCTGGAAAATAAAATAAACAGGAAAAAGGCTGAATTTTGTTTCATTCATTTATTCTTGTCTCGTGTCACACTTTGTTTATTTACACCATATACATGCCCCATGTGGAATTTAATCTGGGATGTGATTCATTTTGTGAGTGTAGGACAAAAAAAACATTGAACTCTGCATAATATGGTCTCTGAAACAAGACTCGACGTGTGCTGGACGTTTAATAGTTAATTCTTTCACGCTGACAAACACGTGACGTGCCTCCCTCCGTGTCACGTATTAAGTGTAAATCATTAAATCGCCACAATAAGCCATTTAAACTTAACTCAACAAAACAACCAAACTTCGACAACAAAACCCCACCCAGTCCAATAAGCGCGTCCTGATTGGCTGGCGCGTCTGTAGATCCGTTCCCTCTTCGCTGCGCGCGCGCCATTGGTCGGCGGTGACGACAATCCCGAGTCGTGCTCCCGCCCACCGAGCGGATCAAGTTTGAATGAACAACAGCAGCCTGTTCTGGAGGTGGTAGTTGGATTTGCAGTAAATTATTATTATTTTTTTTAAAGTGGGTATCGCATCGAGAGGCTGCGCCGACCGAGGATGGAGATGAAGAAAAGGATCCACCTGGAGTTGAGGAACCGCACTCCGTCAGATGTAAGTCGGCTTCGCGGCTCGCTGGGGATGTTTCTACTCTCAAGCTAATGGAGAATCTCTCGTGTGATGTCTTGGCGTGGAGGGCAGAGAGAGAGAGGATGAGCGAGCGAGGGAGGAGAGAGGTACAAAGTTTCCCAGCAAGTTAAAAAGATGACGGAGACGCGGGGTCACATTGTTGCGTTCTGGGACGCGCTGGCAGTCGGCCGCTGCGGGGACGCCGGGGGAACTTTTTGTTTGCACGTCTCCGTCTGTGCAGTTTGAGAACGCACAGCAGCTGCGTTCATGCCGGCGGGATAAAAACAAGATATTTGCAACTTTTTACCCACCAACGAGCCCGCTTTTCGCCCCGCGCGTTCTTAATGCACTCCACGGCTTAACGACGCTTTTTCTTAAAAAAAAAAAAATGGTTTTAACACCGCGCGCGTAAAGTCATCACAGCATCGACATGTCCCTCCGCGTCCCTCCGAGAACGACTCAACCCGTCCAGGGGAAAGGCGGTTATTTCTGCAGGACGTGCGTTCACACGTTGGGCATGGTCCCCCGGTTTGGGGGGGGGGGGGGGGTGGTGGTGCGCCTGCAGACTTAATCCTGGAGCCGCGGTGCGGTCAGCGCGGGCCGCTTACCGACCACCGAGCCCGGGGGAGAGGACACGCGGGGCGAGCGCGTCGTTGTTTATACTGCTGGGTGTTTAATTCGGCCGTTTCATCGAGACTCTTTGTTGCCAGGGGGGGGGAGTTTAAGGGAAGGGAAGGGGAGGGAGGGGAGGGGGGCGCGACGACGACGACGGCCCCGGCAGCCATAATGAAAACAAACCGTCGAGCCGCGTTTTGTTGCTCCAGTTTCCCCCAAGAACTAGGACATGCCGCCATTTTACCGTGAAACAAAGGCAACCCGAAACGCACCGAATATCCGGCTCCATTCGAGAGACACACACACACACACACACACACACGAGGAACGGTTCTTCATACCTTCTTATTAAGAGAAGTCTAAACGCGCCACTCAATCCGATCGGCGACTGTGCGTGCAACAATGTATCGTTTGCCCGGCAGCCTTTCATAATCCCCCCCCTCACCCCCCTAAGCCCCCTCACCGGCCCCTCCTACTCACAGATGACCCCGTGCACGGCTCCGAGGTCTGATTCTGCGTCCGACTCGTATTGATTAATCGCTCTGAACCAGTCGCACACACGTCTTATCTCAGATTGACTGGGTGGGGAACAACACCACCACCACCACCACCCCCCTCCCCCCACACACATATAAAAACAGCCACATAAAAACCTACATCGCCCAGGAAAATATATTTGAATGTTTACGTAATGGGAGTCGAGGTCTCGCGATAACTAGAGCGTTTAAATGCTTTTGACGGATTATTGATGGATTGTAATGTTTTTGTAGTTCCGGTCGTCGGGTCGAGTCACTACAAAATAACGAGGACCGACAGCAGCGCGCCGGTGATCAGTCCTATTCGATATCAATGCGCCAGGTCCTACAGCTACGTGCTGATGGCTCATCGTAATCAATGTTTGTGTGCATTGCTTTGGTTTTGCTATTAAACTGGGCTGCCTCAAACTTAAATAGTTAAATGTTACCTTTAACCACTGGTAGATGTATAGATTTACTTCAGTAGAAATATAAATACTCATTTACAATTCTACACGCCTGTGTTGAAAGGTCAAGTATCAGCAAAACTTACTATAGGTATCATAAATAAAGATATTCATACAAATATACTGCTGATCTGTTGTGTATGAATGGATCATATTAACATAATACAGTGGTCACATAGTGAAGTAAATAATGCAGTATCTCCCTCTTGGTAAAGGAGCAGTTTAAAGTGAAAAGATGGTAATGCTGTAAAGTTATACGTACTACATAATGTACACTGTACTGGCAATAAGCCGTTTTTACTGCAGATACGGTTTTATTTTAAAGTAGCGGGAATCCTCCTGTAATTGCAATCTTCTTAAATATGTTTTATTCGACCTTTAAGATAAGAGTCTAGTGAGGAAATGTACTTCATCAAACACAATACATTTAGAGGACCTGGCTGTACAGTATATTTATTTCATAGTCGTTATTGCCCACATTCAACTCCAGTACACCTACAGTCATCAAAACAATGCGTCCTTCCCAAATACAACATAACTATTATCAAAAGTTTTACCCTCGAAATAGCTTCAACTTAATGTTTGATTTTCTGAACACACGTCATATTTAATGCACTCTGCATTTTGAAAATGTAACAAATTCTGACGGGATGCACTTTGTTTGTTGTGCAGGTCAAAGAACTTGTTCTAGACAATTGCCGCTCAAACGAAGGAAAGATCGAGGGTCTAACGGACGAATTCGAGGAGCTGGAATTCCTCAGCACAATCAACGTCGGACTCACGACAGTTTCCCACCTGCCGAGGCTAAATAAACTCAAAAAGGTGAGTGTGTCCCTGCACAGAACCAGCGTGTGACACTCGGCTTTCATGTTTTTGCATATTTTGACTGTTCCGTTGACCAACAGCTCGAACTCAGCGATAATCGGATCTCAGGGGGGCTGGAAGTTCTGGCAGCGAAATGCCCCAACTTAACACATCTCAACCTCAGTGGCAACAAGATTAAAGACCTCAGCACGATAGAACCATTGGTGAGTGGGACCCAAAAGTCCTTAAGGGGGTGTACAGCGGGGAGGGAGGGGCAAACATTCAAAGCAACTGGCTGTTACCCCTAAGACCTGATTGTTCTTTTGACAGAAAGAGTTGGCGACCCTGAAAAGCCTAGATCTGTTCAACTGTGAGGTGACGAACCTGAACGAGTACCGAGACAACGTCTTCAAGCTGCTGCCCCAGCTCACGTACCTGGACGGCTACGACAAGGACGACAAAGAGGCGCCCGATTCCGACGCCGAGGTCTACGCGGAGGGCTTGGACGACGACGAGGACGACGACGAGGACGGTGAGTCCGAGGGCTTTGCGCGAGCTCTTTGTATGCGTCTGTCTTCGCCCTGCTGGGTTTTTTTTTTTTAACGGCCGTGTGGTTTCCCCCTGACGGGTAGACGAGGAGGAGTACGACGAAGACGCAGCACCCGGCGACGAGGAGGAGGAAGAGGGGGAGGACGACGACGAAGAGGAGAACGAGGAAGGGGAGGAGGAGGAGGAGGTCAGCGGAGAGGTGAGAGCCGATGAGGTTTGCACTCTAAAATGTTCAGTCTGAAACAATGACTTTAACTTAATGTTGTCTTCTTTTTTTTTTAAAGGAGGAAGAGGAGGAAGATTTGAATGACAAGGAGGCTGATGACGAGGATGATGAAGGTGAGTTGAATGCGGCTGACATTGAAGCTAAGTGTATATAGGGTTAGTTATATACACTTTTACTATTTTTTGCATTATTTTCCTAAATAACAATAACATTTTTTTTAAATTTGTTATGTATTTTTATGGTCCCAACAAATGTTACATTATTTTCCTTGCACATAAATCGTCTGCTAAGACATTTTCTAAAGGGATCTAGTTTTATACGTCACGTACTTCCAAGGTGTGCTGTCTTTTGTCTTTGCACGTTATGTGTCCACAAAACCGGCAACGGCAACTTGTCATTGAATCTGTAATGTGCAAACGAATGGGGACCCAATTTTGAAAAAAATTGGCTGTTGGTTGTAATTCTTCTGTTTTTATTTCCCTTTGGCATTGCGGTTGAATGGAGGCATTAGAAAATTTTAATCTTCTCAAGATTCAGCAATTTGTCTCAGATACAGAAAACCTTTATTGTCCATCACAAATAAACATAAATTGGTCTCGCAGTGTGAAAGTTGCGTACAGTTTGAACCGTCGCCGTGAGAAAACCTGAACCGGACTCGCCTCTTTGCTGCTGCCGTTTTTGTGTCTTTTATTTAAAAAAAAAACATTTGACTCTTGTTTTCTAGAAGAAGTAGAGCAAGGTCAGAAGAGAAAAAGGGAGCTGGATGAAGAAGGCGAGGAGGACGAAGACGATTGAGATTCTTCTGCAAGTTAAGTTTTGAACTATTTTAAACGTGTATTTCCCCGTCACTTCCCAACAGCCCCCTTGTATTTTACCCCCCCTGTTTCTTATTGCAGTAGGAGTGCTTTTTGTTATTGGCCAGTCAGGTAGACGGGGTTGTCTGAAATAAGTTAAATTTGTGTACCTCTTTTGATGCTCCGTGTTCCAGTCTTTACTGTCCTCTTTTAACAGCTTTGTGGACGCCCAATTTTGTAATCCCAAATAATCGCAAAGATAAACCTTTTTAAGAATTGTTTTTTTCTTTCCTCACTGTTTGTGTAAGACCGGTTTCTTAATGGCTTATATATTATAAAAGAGCCCCCCCCCCCTTTCAAAAGGAAAAAAAATCCAAATGAAACAAAAAAAGAGTGCATGTCTAATACATTTTAAAGTCAACTACTGGATTTCACGTATGGCTGTCCTCTCCTCGTCTTTTCTTATTTTTGCAGTGTTTTTTTAATTATTATTTTTTTAATGTAAGTTATGTATTTGTAGTGTCACCAGTATGCCAATACTCTTTGCTGTCCTGGTGTGGAACTTCTGTCTGAACATGCACAGTGTGACCCTCACAGGGCATATTTTTAAATCCTAGCAAAAAAATGTCTGCCCTTGTCAAAGCTGCTCCTCCTCCTCTTCCTCCCCTCGGCTTTGATAGTTCGGAAATTACGTGTTCTTGTAAATAATGACCAAATCTATTTTTTTGTATTCTCTTTGATGACGGCAGACATTTAACAGACAACTGAGGTGAAACTATGAATTGTAATAAGATATTAAATACGTATGCTGCTTTTATCTAAAATACGCAGTGTGAAATTTGAACATAACTTTGTATGCATAATCTTTCCATAAAGACAAATGTTCAACATCAAAAAAAAATCATCATCGCTTTTTTCATGTTCCTTTTTTGTGACACAGAGGTGGCAATGTTTGAATTTGTGGTGGTAGTGTAGAGAAGTACTTGCTATAAATGGAGGTGAACGTATGTGCATTGAAAATGTATTGTTTCAAAGTGGGAACTCTGGGAACGGTCAGTTATTTGGACTTTGTTTTCACTTGTATACGTACCGGTCAAATTGGCCTACCTCAGTGACTTTTCACATGTTCAAACCCACTGTCATCAACCAAATTGTTTCTTTTCCCTCCCCATTCACGACAATAAATCCCTTTTTTTATACGTGTTTTGCAGTGTGTGTTACTTAAAGGGGCTAATTAAAGCTTCCTATAAATTGAATTAGCACCAAAACAATTGATGGTACGACTGTCCAGGCCAAGTTCTACATTTAATCGACAACTGTACAAAGAGGGTTTCAGTCATTTCAAATAACCTTTCTGTCCCGTTGACCTTCCTTCACAAAGATTCACCGTTGCTTTTATTCCTGCTCCACCTACACGAGAAGCCCCGACTGTCTGTCCGCTGTAGCTGATCCGCCTGTTGCGGCGGCTTTTCTTGGCGGAAGCTATTAAGCGCTGGAGCCTTTTTAGGTCTCCACTTCGACCTTTTGCCTACTCTCAAATTCCATTCTTAGTATTCATGTAGCATATTGTCGTATTCATCCTATTCCTGGTCCACAGAGAGCGGAATCGGAATAAAACCAGGTGGAATACGATGGGCCTGGATTAAAAGACGCACGTTATGTTTAAGGAGGATCTTCTCGGACTGCCTGGACGTTTCAATAGAGCTGATCACATGAAGAAGAAAACCTAATGGAGGGATTTAGACAGAGTCTGTCGGGGGTTCAAGTGGACGGGAGGGGAGACGGCTGACCTGGAGGCTCTAGGTCAAGATTACACATCTAGTTAAACACATGTGACTAATGGTGACATACTTTGTTTTAAATGTAAAAGGATGGTTATTATAACAGTTTTCTGCACTGTTAGGAAAAGGCAAGATTATACGTTTATACCTCATGTAAAGTTAAGTCAAGGGTGCAGATTCACACAAATCTTGCACCATTTCAATCGGAAACATTCAGCAAAATCCATCGGGCGTCACAACCCTTAACTGCGCAGCCACATCATACAAAAATCAGGGGATTAACACATTTACATGTTGGTTAAAAAGGTTGAATGTGACAAATAAATAGAAGTAGATACACATTATGCTCCTCCATCCACAAAATGAGCCCTAAAAGCCAATAACAGCCGGACAAAGCTTCCCTTGAGACCAGATCTGTTACATAAGTGGATCCCTTGTCCCCCCCCCCCCCCGCTGCCTTCCCAGTATTTAAATAAACAATAAGAAAAGAAGCTACGGGATTAGCAGCTCGGTGGAAAACATCATTCACGTCGGCAAAAAAAAAAAAGTCGTCTCGTCTGTCGGGTGCAAAGGAATCTCAGCCATTTTGAAAAGATGTTTGCAGCTGGCTGGCGGTCTAAGGCCTTGTGGAAGGAACACGGGATCGTCTTTTTATCCTCTAGCTTTGCCTGGTTTGGTCACGTACGGGAGAAGGGTGTGTGTTTGTGAAGTGTTTCCACGTGAATGATGGGGTAGGCACAGTGAGACAATCTCTCAGGAGGTCTGGCAGAATATGCATTATCGTAACACTTGAGAACGCGCTCGATCAAAAGTCGTAAAACTAGACATCGCCTAAATGGATTTAAAATCTTTCCCACCGTTTCATGAAGCCGTAAACTGGTCCTTTTCTCCTTCACTCATCATATTTGCCATGAATACAATATTCCAGTAATTTCCCCCCTGGGTTAAGACGTCATCCAACACTTATCATATTATTGTGTGCACTACGCAGGGCAGCAGGAATGAGGTTATGATTTATCAAAAAAGAGGCATAGGAGGGCTCAGAAGCTCGTTGGAGGTCAGAATTGGAGGCAAAGGAAGCAGCTTTGCCACTGCGGGAGGGCGAGAGGTCAGACGTTGTTGGGGCTAACGTTCTTCAGGTTGTTGAGCTCCAGCTCCAGCTGGCGTATCCGCACGTCCTTGGTGGTCAGCTCCTCCTTCAGGCGCCGCAGCTCGTCCTGCTGCCGGAAGAACACCCGCAAGAGCTGTGGGGTTGGAAAGGACGAGAGACGGTGCATGTGAAATATGCACAACACCCTAGACCCGATCAATCGATCCCTCTCAGTCCGGCCCACGCGGTCTTTTTTTAATAAGCTGCAAAAAGCTCCTCTTTGTTCTGTCTAAAGGTCAAAACAGTCTAAGAAACACACAACACAATCGCTGCTGCTCCCGTTAGCTGTGCCAGGAGGGTTTGTCTGCGTCTTTGGTGTCCGTCCAAGACTAATCTGGCACACTGGCACACCAAACTGCCTTATATGTAAAAACAAATAGTTTAATAATATGCAAACACCAGGTGATTGAGGTCATCAGCTGTTGACACACACCTCGTTCTCTGTCCTGGGTGGAACGTTCTCCAGCAGGTCGATCCCGTTCACCACCATGCTCTTCTTTTCCTTCACTGGGGCCTTAAACGCTAACTGGTTTGGTTGCTGGTAACCCTCCTTCAGGGAAATTAGGACCGGGTCTGTTTGCAGAAAGTGGGCAAAAACAGGTGTAAATCCTCTCACCTCCTAAATTGCCCCTTGTGACTGGCAGTGGCTGACACATAGTGATGAGAACGCACACAATAATAGCTAGTGGGATTTTTTGATTTGATACGTCAAGGAAGAAAACTCCAGGGTTTGATTCACTGACAAAACTGTCACATTTTAATGCAAACTCTCCATCTCTCTACTGACAAGGCCACTCTGCATGGGAGGTTTCACACCAGTGTCCTGCGAGTTTCCATGTCAATAAGTGTCTGCATTTGTGTGATGGACAGCCACTGGATTATCCATTTAAACATAGATGTGATTTTGAGTGGATCTTTAAATATGTATCATAAAACAAATAACTTCCAGCACATCCCATCACCAAAAACAGGATGACGCACTGGTGTTAAATTAACATCTTTGTTCTCAAATTGGTCAATATTTATCAAAAGAAGTGCACAGGAGAGTCAATACATTGTGTGTGTGTGTGTGTGCAGCGGTTTGTTCACCTCGATTAATGCCGCTCAGCCATTCACTTGCTGTCAGCGCAGGTTCTGTTCCTGCGGTCATGGGGTAGATGTCCTCCTGGTACGTATCTGACTGTAAACCAGAGAACGCCGCACGTTAAAACCGGTTCTTAAGATTTCAATGTCTTAAAAAGACGAAAAAAAACAAGGTTTTCCATGCGTCGATATAAGCGTGTGGGTATTCTACCAGTTTGAGCTTTTTGATTGGTTTCAGCACCTTATTTAAGATAAAGCTGTGTGTTATCCGGCATTTCTCTCAAATCATAAGATATCATCTCTTGCCTCTGCAAGCTTTTTTACTCAAACCAGTAAAGAGGAATTAGGGTTCAGATGGGATCATTACATGCCACTAGTGTTATTACAATCTGACAAAAAATAAGCTTTTCCTCGCCCATTATGTGCTAAATAAATGTGACATATTGTAGAAATCATTAATAACAAGAGAACATGATACAATCAGATCATTGCATTAATTCCTTCCCACCCTTCTTGGGACAATCATGGAAATGGGCTCGATCAAACCCTTCAGAGTGACCAGCTTGTAGAAGCGGAACACCTCACAGGCGCCCACATCCAGCCCGTGCTTTGGCATCACACCTGCAGACAGGAAGAAGAGGAAGAGGCGCGCAGTGACGCAGAATCAACACCAGAGGAATAGCAAGCGAGATCAATCGTCACCGGTCAGCCAATAACCTACCGAGGCCTTTCTGCGGGGCCGGGGAGCGGAACTCCGTCAGGTATTGGAAGTACGGCTTCTCCGTGGTGATCTCGAAGTATCGGATATTTCCGTCCCCCTGCAGAATGTGTCCATTACACCACAGCATCGAGAGGGAGCTCCAGTTTCAACCATGTCACCTCTTTTTCTTTTTCCTTAAACACTTTGAAAACAGCCTAATCTGATCTGGCGCTTTGCATTGCATTTCAAACTGTGGGGCGGATGACACGGCACCTCTCACAGTAGTTTCTTGTTTAAGCATGTCAGTGCAGGAACGTGTGAGAAATGCGTTAAAAATATTGTGCGATTGGATGAGACATAATGGATTGTGGGCCAGTTTTCCGGTAAAGCTCAGTACTAAAGATTGTCAGCTGGAACAAAGTAAATCGACATTTTGACGCCATACATTGTATGAAGATTAAGGCCGTTGACCTGTTTTTTAGATTCATCGGTGAGGCTAAAAAGACTCTGACCTTGCCTGCCAGGTACAACATGTGTGTGTCAGCATCGTAGAAGGGAAACAACAGTCCTGAGAGGCCGTCGATGTCCTCCTCCACAATGGGCATGGACAAATCCTCCTGAAAGGAAACAACACACACAAGGAGTTAAATACGCACACACACACACACACACACACACACACACACACGCTAGCGGCCGTGTGGCGGTGTTGTCTGACCTGATCCCACAGAGCGATCTGCCGGGTGTTCCAGCGTGAGACCCCCGTGGTGACGAGTCGCTTCATGTTGCCCAGGAACACCACTCGGTTCACGCGGTGGTTCTTACAACTGGCTTGCTGGCGGAGGAGCACACAAAGATGGAGCATTAATCAACCATGCAAGGACATTTAGCTCTCCTATAGATCACCTGAATGCTTTCTTGGGGGTATCGTATTGTTGTGAATAGACAACAATAGAAATGACATTTGAAGATAAGACTTGATGAGCTCTATAATGGAGCCTCGAATAATTGAATGGCATGAATCGAGACTTTCAAAGTGAAAGTGGGGCACGCGCTGACCCCGGCCCCGCCGCGCTGACCTGGAGGACGGCCCCGGAGCGAGGCTCGATGACGCGCAGCTTCTTGTCCTTGCAGCTGGTGGCCAGCAGGCTGCCGTCGGTGTTGAAGGACATGCTGAGGATGACGTCCGTGTGGCAGTCGATCATTTTCACCGGCTCGCCGATCTCCAGGTTCCAGATCAGGATCTGAGGGAGGGATTGTTTGGTAACGCAAATGTGATTGACCAATGACAGCATAAATAGCCCAACTATGTTCTTTGAAAACACAGGCCTGTTGAGGGTCGACACACAAATTACTATTTTCCATTATTGAATCTTTCTTCTACAGTTATCATCATATCATCTTCCGACTTCATTTTTACCTGATCACCCAGAAGTATTCAATATTCAATTATAATTGTCTAAATCTCCTTGCTTTATGTTTGGATGATTTTATTGGTTTTATGTGAAGCACTTTGAATTGCCTTGTTGTTGAAATGTGCGGTGCAAATAAAATGTCCATGCCTTGCAATATAGAGCCATTATATAATGCCATCAAATGCAGCCAATAAAGACAGTTTGTTTCATTTGTTGCAGATAACCTATCTGATGAATCCAACACAAAGATGAGCCAATAAAGATTATGGAAATAAGTTAAAAGTAACTCCCAAATGACACAGGTTGCCACTATCTAACGGTATTCGAGCGGCTGCATTTCCTCTTGTCCTTTGGATCACTGTCCTGTCAGAGTTTCTCGTGCGGATTCGCGCTGGTCGTGTTTGCAGTTACCGACGCGGTACCTTGTAGTCGTAGCCGGCGCTGAAGAGGATGCCGCTGCTGGTGGGGTGCCACTCGATCACACCCACCCGTCTGCTGTGGCCGTACAGCTCCAGCACCGCCTCCGTCATGTTGCGTCTCAGCCCGCCCTCTGGGATCTCCCACACTCGCACCTGCCACCACGTTCACATCAACGCGCTCAGTGAAAAGGGAACACGCCTTTATAGAACAGGTATGAACCAGAAAGAAGCCTTTTCATCTTTCCTATTTAGTGTTTGTTGTGAGCTCCATCAAGAGCTCCTACAGTCAGCAGGACACGGGGAGAGATCTCCACGATGAAAAACAGCACATGGTATCCATGTGGCCCATTGCGTTGGGATTAGACGGGATTACGGCCAGTGGCTCCATGTTGGACCAGAGGAGATTAAGCTTCAACCAGTAAAAGTACTGCACGGGACACAGTGCTCCACTATGATGCCCGTTGGAGTAGCTAATGCAACATCTGCACCGGTTTCCTACATGTCAGCAGCTGTAATCGTCGTGCTGGGTCGATGACGACAGGACGCGGGCCACTTACCGAGGTGTCCTCCGAGCAGGATGCTATGATGTTTTCAAAGAAGGGATTCCACTTGATATCCAGTACGTTGCCTTGGTGACCACACACCTTTGGGCAGTGAGAGTCCAGCCGACCGGACTGAAACAGAGCGACAGAAGTTGTCTTAGTTTGCATTTACTGTACTTTTTCTGTTTTGTACATTTAGGTAAAGTAATTTATCAAAGATATCTGCATTCATCGAGAGTGTCACGTCAGCAATCTGTGAACTGGATCATTTGGAGATCCAGACGGAGAGACACACCATAAATAAGAGCTTATGAAATAATGGTATTGGAATTAAATGGAGCAAATTTAATAAAATTGTTTTTTTTTTATTGTTTTGTGTTTATTTTATATTTCATATAAAAGTGCATAGGAGACAAAGGGTCAAACGGCCTCTGTGGTAAAACAACAAAAAAGAATGCAAATTAGACAAAACCATAGTAGAAAAGAAAATGTATATGTTTATCTGTTCAGAATATAACTAGTCTTTTCTTTCAATCATAATGGAATAAAAGTAAAATCACAACAATGAATTGACTCGATAAAAAACAAAACAGACCTGCTTGTTGTACAAAACACATTCGAGGCCGTTGGGTGTTTTTGCAGTAACCCGTAGCGCCCACAGAGGGGCAGTGGCTCATAACACCTGACTACAGAAAGCTTTAATGTCGGTCATGTTGTCATGAATGTTTCATGTCAATTGAGTCCACTGACCTCGTTTTTTTTTTTATTCCTTAGAGATTGGTTAAGGCGCATCGGGCCTTGAAATCCCACATGTCTAAATGAAGTGTCCTCACCGAACCCAGAAGATTAACCCCAGATGCTTTGTCAAGCCTCCCAAACGCTTCATAAATGATTTAATGTAACATATAGCATATTCAAATATTAATTGCTTTACCCTCGAAGAGAAAATTAAAAAAGGGTGTGGCATTTTGTTTTTTTACCCATATTTTTTACCCACAGGTCGCGTTGGAGGCTCCTTTACATCGGTTTACATGTACAGATGTAAAGACTTCTGGAATTATGTACAAAAAAAGTTTTGACCACGTGTCTTTTTTTTTATTAATCTGACAGTGACGGGGCAATTTTAACATGGCCTCAAAACATTAATAACATGCCATCATAAGGGAATCCTTATTAATGTGGAAGCAATTAGTCTGTAGGGAACTAGAGCGTCCGTGAGGCTCAGGACGGATTATCAATTATAACGGAGCGTGATATAAATAAGAGATAGTGACGTCTCTGGCATAAAGAATAGAAATAAGAGAATATGAATTAAAATAGTTGTTGAATTAAATGTTTATCTGGATTGACATGGGGACATAGCGTCTGCAGCTCATCTCCTCAGACAGATACAGATGTGCAGGCCGGGTTCGCCGGAAGCGCCACACTGGGACCATTTACTGATGTCTAATTTGCAACAAATCCACATTACCGAAGTTCGACGGTAACAGGAACAGCACGCCGTCTTCCAACAGCAGCATTCTATGAGTCCTCCGGCTATACGATGCAATAATATGAGCGAACGAATTACAGAGCAGCAGGTTATTATCAACTAACGCCGATTCAATTATACCAGTTTAAGATTAGCAGTTGGGCCTCTTCTATCCTGCTGTCATTGTCGGTTTCTTTCTAATGGATTCACTGCTCACTGGAAAAAGAGAATGTTTATTGTGTTTATCACGTGTTACTATGGCTGCTTTCCTACCGCGCACACCAGAGGCCTGGTCTGCAGTGTTGTCATCGGTCACTGTTTATAAGCGCTTGTGATGGTAGTAAAATAAGAACGTGGTCAATTTTATAAATGCTTTTCAAGCATCTGCATAACAAAATGACTCAACGCAGACGCCTTTAAAAAGAACCGTAAGACGTATTACATCACGCCAGCTGGCGAACCAAAAGAAAAGCAAAACCAGTAGTTAAAATAACCTGCAGTGGTTTATTTACAGTATATAATGGCGGCGACTGATGATGGTGAAGTCTACATATTTCTACCAGCAGCTATTTTTACTGGAAAAATGATGCAGCCAAAATTGTGCTGATGTAAAAAGGCGCCACACCCACTGCTCCCTCCTTTGTCTGAAAAGGTGTTTGGTGCCAGCGGTAGTCTTTCCACTTGCTAGTGGGATTCTCGGGGGAAGGGGGGAAGGAGGGGGGGGCAGCCATATGGTCGCCTCTAGCCGGCTGTCAGCATAACATGTGAGTCGTTCTCACACCTTGCTATCACCCCAAACCCTCCGCAGATGAGCTTGTGTTTCTGACGGAGCGGGGTGAGCTCATTTTGAAGGTTTACAAGTGCGACGTGGGCTTTGTGTGAAGGCTTCTCATTCTCCTGGAGTTCTCATCTCCTCACCCTTGTTTGTCATTTTCCCACAGACGCAGTCTGTGTCTCACATACGTGAACAATAGACTGCCTTTTAATGATGAAACGTACTGCGCAGGCTAAACCGCTATTGATTGAAGTAAAGAAAGCAAACAATTAAAGTGAAGTTGGTCTGCATGCCATAACTCTTTCTTAAGATCCAGATTCATTGATTCTGCACTGTCAGCAAAAGCGCCGTGAGTTGGATTTAAACCCCATATTTACATACATTGTTTGTTCCCCCAAAGATATCAGGACATCTAAACTTCTCTACGTGAGAACAATAACGCAGATCCTATTCTCTATGCTGCCAGAAGAAATGCAACGTTTGGAGCCACACAAAGCATGAGGTCACCTAAAAACAGATTTTGCTTTTGTTGTTTTGGCAGCAGGATACTGAATGAAGCAGCAGTCATCATCCACAGAAGCTGTCATCTGAGCTGCCGGCTGACGAATGTTTCCAACTCAGCAGAAACCAGAGGAAACGCTAAAGTGCAATACTTCCTGATGAGGAGGAAATCGATCACGTTGTGGACATTTTCTAACACGCGCGTCTTTCCTTTTCATGACACAACAAACCAAATGAAATTGAAATAAATTATACTATTTAATATAGTGGATTGATATAGCTTTAAAAGTCCCCCTGTAGTCACATGAGAATCCAGCCAAAATGAACCTTCCCTTTCTATCCAAGCGCAACAAATCAACAAGATGTCATCAACATTACTTTAATCATATGATAGCCGACAGCTGTTGTTCATGCTGAGAAGCTGCAAACAAAGTGAATTTCATAACCCAAGAGCGCCTAGAGACACGTGAGTATTACACGCAGCCTCGCCAATTTTAAAATCCCCATCTGAGGTACAAGCGGTGTAGGTGGACAAAAATGAAAAAAACCCTTTGCTTCATTGAAACCTTGTTATGGAGATAAAATGATACAGTTCACAGATTGCTGATGTGACACTGCTGAAGGACGTCAAAGCGACTATGTGACAGAGTGCTGGAGGGATCACGTGAGTTCTTACAACATACAGAAGCTATTCTGTCGTCTTCATAGCAAACTTAATACCGACACAACATCAGACGTGAGCAAACACATTTGCCATTAAATACCGTTCATGGGAATATTACTCTCCAACAAAGTGTTAGAAGTAGGTTCACTCTACTATCTGCATATTACCTCTCAAATGTGTCACAGCAATCATTTTTCTTCCATACTAACATCTGCACTACTGTGGTGTAATAAAGAATCCAGAAAAGACAGCACAGCAGACATGTTTGCCTGAATATGAATTAAAAAGAGATTTATTCCCTTTTCCTCTATTACGAAAAAGGCTTTCACACTTTCAATTTCAACAATGTCCTTGTGACTTGTTTATGGGAAATACCAGTGCGCCTATTGGCAAATCCACCCATTTACAACTTTGGCTTTGAATTCTTGGCTTTAGTTTTTATGGCTTAGAAGACTGGGAGGGTTTGTGGGGAATTTTTAAACACCTAAAACACCCGAAATGCTTTGACTCTCTTGATGTGATTGTTAACTAAACATGATGAACACTTTGAATACAAATACTCCGAACAGAACCAAGAATAAGTGAGCATCTGAACTGAGGGGGCGGCCCCCCATTCATCTTCGGGCCCCCGGTCGCCATGACGACAAACAGCAATTCGGCAGTGCCCGTTACCTGGGATACAGGTACGACAATGAACGAGCCCCCGCCGGCACTCTCGGTGACGACTGCCAGGAATTTGGAGTTGACGGCGCAGAAGTGGTTGTCGTGCACGTTCTTGGTGATGGGGAAGCCGTCGAAGCAGTGCTCCCGGTTGCCCACTTTTCCGTAGACATTTCGAAACTTGGAGCTTCGGTAGGTCGGACGCCATGACATCTGAGGGAGGAAACACAAAAACGCAGAAATTAGTCGTTTGTTATTTTACCGAATATCCAGATGGAACACTTCTTTATTGGTCCACAGCTCTTCCGATACCACAGATGAGACGACCTGAGTGCACCGTTGACCTTTGACACGAGGTGTGGATCGTCGGCCAAATTCTGTCCCCAATTTCAGGACAGCCTGTTCGGGTAAGACGCGTTTTTATCATATCTGCATTGACAATCGACCAAAATTAGAAATATGAACTTATAGGATGTTGGCAACGATGCAATGCAGCGCATACTACTAACAATTATTTTAGGTCTTAATAAGTCACTTATCATGTTCAATTCATTAGCGTCCGTCTGTGATGTGTTGCTTGTTTTGTTCAACAAACTGCCCAAAATCAAATTTACTTTCTAGTCTTTTAAAACATGTACGACATGTAGTTTTATTCACTCAGTAAAGTATAACATAACATTTGCAATCGAGAAGAAGTCATTTTGGACATTTAATTATAACTGCAGGCATCCTTCAGATGACAAACCTGCTCTTGTATTGTTCAGTGTGTCCAGCGCAACAGAAGTAAAGTCTTCTAACATCGTGTCTACAAAGAAGAACATTCCTTTTTAAATCTTTATCTTTAAGTATCGGTTAAAAAAATGATGATAACACACATCGAATTCAAATTCCCTCCGGCAGACCCACTTTTGCAGGGAGAGGCAGACATGAAAACTGTCACTCATACAGCTGTGGGACATCGTCTAAATGAAAGCTGCCTGCTACACTTTCAAAGGGTGAGAACTGGGTGAAAAGTGTCTTGACACCATTTAGTGTTCCCTTATATCCTGTGATCAATGTGTCAAGGAGGAAAAGCTTAACGCAACAAAGAAAAACCAAAATTGCTCGTTTCTAGTATGTCAGAATCCTCCTTTGTTTGCAGTCACTTCCCACAGCGAGAGCGAAGTGGTTACATTTGACTCAAGACGCTTCATCTGTTTTGGCACAAGCCGCACACACGCTTTAAAGGCTCCCCAGCCACAGGAAGTGGACGTCAAACGCCCTTTTTCTCCCACGGGGACAGAAGTTGGTCCCATTTCTCATTTCCAATGGATGTGGTGGTATTCTGAAAAACTCTTCTGAAACCGGATCTGTGCGCGAGAACAGATTCCAGCGGCTCTGTTGTTGGACTGCATCGCTTCAAAACAGTATCTGGGAGGGCCGGATTTATGATCCCTGTCAGATCAGTAGCAGCAGGGCCGGATGACATCAGGCAATCCTCTATTCAGTATTGTTCTTGAGATGTGGAGGGGAACTGATGGGAGGGTCTTACGCGTGCAAATGGAAACATCCTCAGTCCATGCGTCTGCCATTGTCTCTCGCCGTCCCTCGGTGACGTATCGGGATAGATTAAGCAGCCTGCACTGGCTGTTTGTCCCGACTATAAACTCTACAAAGTTGCCGGAGGGCAAATTATGAACCACGTGAACGAAATGCATGCAGACAAAAGAGGTGCATTGGTAATGCAGATGTTTCTGTTTTCTTGTGGTTTGTTTGTCCTAAGAAACAAACAGAGAGCCGTGGCTCCTCCTGCCTCTCCTAAAAAAAAAAAGGAGCGAGCCTCCCAGGTGCATGCTGGTCCCATACCTGCATACCGAGGGGCCTGTAGTGCTGTCAAATTCTTAAGAAAAAGCAAACAAAACAAAGAAAATATCGAAAGAACCCAAGCACCTTAATGATACATAAAGTAGTTTAGATTAACACCAACTAGGCAAGTTTCAACATTAAAATGCTCCTTACACCATTAAAAACACACAATTGCTTTGATTTTTGATGGAGACCTTTACTTGTTACTCTACATTTAAGTAACGCTACTTTCAGTAAGTAAAGGATCTGAGTGCTTCTACCAACCACTGTCAAATGTGAGGATTGTATTCTTCTCCCTGTTTGATCTCATGTTATTTAACATACAAAACAAACAACGTGAAAACAAGTGGGTAACCGCTGGTTGTATGCCGGCATGATTCCACAAACATCTCCCGGTCCAACCCAGATCGGCTGCTCTGAGGCCGCGTCTGTGTGAGCAGCATAAAAGCAGCTTGTTAAAGATTTAATGGAGAACAGAAGAGCAGCAGAAAGTGGCCTGAGGGACGGTTGGAGGAGAGGGGGAGAGGACACTCATTCATTGGTCACCAGGGGTGTTGCACAGAGGGGATATCTGTGTGCATCCGTGTCTTTCTTATCTCAGAGGGTTTCCAGCAAAAAGAGCACACACACAAACACACACACACACACACGCGTGCACACACCACGAGCAGCGGCGTACACGCACACAAAAACACAGCAGAGACGAAAGTGACTGTGTCCATCAATGTAGATCAGCACTTGTTTGTAGTTGAAAGTCCTTCTTAGCATTACAGACCTTTTTTGCATCTTTTCACCATTGAAAAAGTTGCTTGTCAAGTTGGATTAAAGTAAAAAAAAAATGAATATCCAATATACATATCTGAACGGCACACCGATGTCCTCGCAATGACCCTGAATACGTCCCCTTACCTTACCAGCGTCCACGCAGAGACACTGAGGTCCTTCTGCAAACATCCACCCTCCGCCTTCCTTCCCCTTCAGATCCAAGCAGGCGGCCTGTGTCTGCTCTGCCTCCTTCTCCCTCATGTTTGTCCTCCCCTCTAAACTCTCTCTCCTCCTCCCACTGGCACTGATAGCTGGTGGGCCCCTCCCCCCTTTCCTCTTCTCACCCTTCTCTCCCATCCTGCCACTCAGCCGGCCACTGCTCCAGCTAGTAGTAGCCATTCATCCTCGTCCCTCTCCCACGCGCTGCTGGTTCGGAATCTCAAGGCCCTACTGGGCTGATTCTCAGCACCACCACCAGGTTTTCAGCCTTTCTAACTCTTATCTCTACTCTGATCTTTCGCTCCACAGGTATGAAAGCTCCATGAATGTCCGCAGACCTTGATAGCGGCTCCGCCATGGCCGAAGATTGTTACATTCTTTAGATAAACCACAAAGAAATGTAAAAAATGTCAAACTTGAAACGTGTAATGAGAAGGAATGTAGAAGACATTTTCCAAAGGACGGGCACAATCCACAGTGGCCTCAAAGCTCCAATTAAACGCCATTTACCTCTTTTGCATTCTTTATTTCAGGCATGAAGCGCATGTAATGTTGAAGCAGGACCAACGATGCCAGATAAGATCCAATAAGAGAATTATTTTATTTGTCATTCACGGGTTTATGTGGAGTGAATGAATGACCATTTAGGCTTTACATGAACGTATTTATACATTTAAATAATGTCCTTCAGTAGCCTGTATCAGCTATTTACATTGTCTTTGGAGCCGATTACTGATTCACATTTAAAGTAATCAATAAGATCTTTGACCCACATATTTCTTGTTCCTATTTAAATGGATGAAGATTTGGAACAAATAATTACATTTTTATCTACCCATTAATACTCCAAAATGCTGATTAAAACATGTTTGAGAAAATGTGCACAAACTAATAATAGAGAAGCTATAAATCCTAAAAATGGAGATGGAGTTCAAATGGAGATAAATGTGCAAACAAGGAACTGAAAAGCAGAGGTGTCGTTTTCTCTTTCACCACCATCAGTTTCTGAAACGGCCCCCCGGGTCAGATCGATGCAGAGAAGCAGGTGTTGCAGTGAAAATTGCATCCCCTGATGTTTGCCTGTGCGTTTGAAATGTATGTGCAGCCCTGCAGGTCCGATGTGAAGCTGCTTTTCCTCGGCCTCTTGGCCTCGGTGTGCTTGTCTCTTTTTCACGTGTTGTGCACGTGTGTCCGTTGCGGTGCCCGTGTCCATGTCTGAGCATGTGTTGTCAGTTTGCAGCAGTATACATTTATACATTGACTGTTCGAAGCTTCAAGGCAGACCACTCCAGAGACTACAGTGTGTTTATCTTTTCTTTTTCTTTTTTTATTTCTCGCTTCAAGACATGGCGGCTGCTCTGTGTACACTCGATTCTTCTCTTTACGGTATCCTAAAAGCAGCAAAAGTGATGTGTCTCAGTTAAAAAACAGCAATGTATGACGTAAGATATAAAACAAACCACAAACAAAGTGAATATCATCATGAAAATGGCATCATCTCCCCCCAGCTGCAGTCCAACATCCGCTCCCTTCTGGAATTGAAGTAAATGGCAGCTTACTGACTCATTATGAACCATACAAACCCATTGAAGGCACATCAATGGGTTTAACTATTCCAATCAAGATTTTCTTCAATGTTGGTGCCAAATGAGGAAGTAGGGCCATCCCAGCTGACATTCAATAGATACAAAGATGTCTCTTTGCTCAGACAGGGCGGAGCACCGTCCGGACACCGTGTCTTTTCCTTCTGTCCCTTGGCAGCGACACTTCCCAGTCATTTATGATGATCTCTTTGAGGCGTAAAAACCCCCACAAAAAGCGAGATTTCCTATTGGTCCTTGGAACCAAATGTTCTCTCAGCGTGAAGTTGGATCTCACACAGGAAGTGTCACAGCTTGGCTGAAGGCGCTGGAATATTTTCTACGCTACTTTGGCATTGACCGGTGGGACAAATGCCACAGTGTTCTCTCTTGCCGTGTGTTACAAACCCTCCATGCAATGTATAGACATGATTATTCTTTGAAATGCTTGAAGGCATAGATCCTTTTTATATATATATTTATATCTATAATGTCTAGCATTTGTTAGCTGTTGACTCATGTTGACAATGCACACATACTTTGCCAATATAGCTGATTCTCTTTTGTTTTGTTTTCATAGCAGTTGATTATAAATGAAGGACACAAAAGTCGGCCATGAAAAAATAAAAACTGAAAAACATATCTTTACAGAGAAGCTGGGCAGTCCAAAACAATACCTTCCCTTGTGAAATAACGTGTGTATTTTTATATGATTATGCTGATGTTTCTTGGCAAATCAGATGCATGAATTGCAGAGCACAATTGGCTTTGGTGAATAATACTCTGTGCTCACAGTCTTTTTCA